TGGAGACTCGTCCACCCAGACGTATCCATAGCGATGTATCTACCCAATGCATTTCTCCCAACGCACTTCAAAGAAAGAGACCGACTCGCAGAGTGACGGAAAAGGGAAAATACCAGAGTGGTTCGAAAAATGTGGCTACCCGACTAGTGAAACCCTGGTCGTGGTGCCAACGATCCGCATGTCCCTCACGGGAAATGGCGTCACTCCAATTGGATTTGGAGGGGATCCACTCAAAGTAAATCCAACATCTAAGTGAAAACAATAGAATGTGAATCATATGACTCATGTGCTCGAGGTCAGGGCTGTCTGACCTTCCCTTGATGAGCGCCATCAAGGCAGCGGTGTTGTCTATGTACCATGTGCCGCGGCGATTGCGAAATCGCTCAGGTGTGGTAGTCAATGCCATGAGGACTTGCAAAAGTTCTAGTTGTGCGATCTTAGCCTCTCCTGGGGTCCAAAGAACGTAGATGGACGAAGGGAGATGGGAAACAAATCCAAGCCGGCTCTCGGTGTCCTCGTGGAAGAAGACGAGGAGAAAACCACCTGTCCCTTCACCGGGGGTCTCCAATGCAGCGTCAGACGCTGCCACAAAGCGCTCATGGTGTCTCGGCCAGACATCAAGTTCACGCTCCGGATGGATAGAGAGCACTGCTTCGAGAATTTGAAAGCATTGTTCGATAGCTGGAGTCAGTTGATCACCTCGGACAAGCTGACGCTCCTTAATGGCATGGAGACCTCCACATCCTATCCTGCCGTAGACGCCCTGCTCGAAGAAGTTAGCCAGTCCGTACAGCTTAGCTGCAACACCGGGCTTGAGAGTTTGAGTTGCACGGCATTCATGGATAATGGCCTTCAACTTGGTTTCCAGGCGTTCCCTCGCCCAAAAGGAGACAAAGCCACCAGATAGTGCGGACGAAAGGTCATGGTCCAGGCCTAGAAACAGCCCCTTGGGCCGCATAGCCTGGCGTTTCTCTGCTGCAAAAGGGGTGCCCAGAAGCTGATTCAAGGCTCCAAATGCCCATTGGGCCGAACCCCGGCTCGAAGACCAGTCCTGAATAGATGCATCATCGAAGTAAAGCGAAACCAGGACATAGCACAGGCGGCGTCCCAGGGCCTCTACAAGACGGCTGTACCGATTGAAGGATGTAACGGCCAGTGGAAGACCAAATAGTAGACCGGCGTAGACTTGAAAGGCCGGAGCGGCCCATTCATGATGCCAAAACGTCACAACGCATCCCCGCGTTTCGTTGGCTCCCATCGGGCTGTGGCGATAGGCATCCGGCCAGTCTTCTCCACCTGTCTCCCAGGTATCGGTGGCGGCTGCCTGGGCTCTCTCGGACGGGCTCATCTGGCGCAGGACTTGGCTAATGTGCTGAGCCGGTCGTAGTGGTGAGCAAAGCACCAACTTGTTGGCATCGGCCGAGCGTAAGGTTTGCCCTCCTGCATCAGCGTTGTCGATGATCCGCTGCTTGCCTGAAGACTGTGTAATCACACAGCGCGGGATCAGGCGGTACGGCTGCCCCTGCAGCTGCTGACGCAACTGTGCCAGCGTCAAGGGAGGGGTACAGAACCCTCGTGCCGCGTCCTTTGTAGACTGCTCCAACAGGAACAGGTCATCTTTACCCGGCTTAAGGGTAGACAAGATCTGATGGTTGTGTGCTTCGCATCCGGCCAGGACCTGTGTGAGAGTAATACGTTCGGCAGGCTGAGATGGAAAGACGCCGTAGCAGGGTGCATAACCGACTGCCGGCAGGCCTTCGATGAGCCCAAAGGGATATGTAACATCAGGCCATGACGTCAGCAAGATCAACAGCGCGACAAAGCCGAGGTCACGGGTGGCTGTGGTAGCCTGCAAAGCGACAGGTTGAAACTGCCGTAGATGGCGTCCTACTGCACACCAACGCCGATGAAGTTCTCGAAGTGCTCCCACGGCTGCACGGCGAAGGTCTCGGAGACGACCTCGGTGCCGAGTGTGGCAATCGGCTGCGAAAGCCAGGTCCAGGTCCAGCACGGCTGGTAGCTCGGTAGGTAGCAAGTCGCGGCCCCGTGCCTGCGCTTGGGCGAAGTGTTCATCAGGACTGAGATCATAAGACAGCAAGGGGGGTAGGGCGGCACGCTGATTCAAT